TATTAGAGCTGTTTATAATTTTATAATTTTTTTCTACGCTATAAAATATTAAATAATTTAAAGTTTTTATACATTTTATTCAGATTTTTGCTTCGTCTCTTTTTCCATATTATTTTATCCACTTTGATTCTGTTGTTTAGCGACAGCATTCTTTTCCATTATTCTTTAACATATTTTTATTTTTCTCATAATATAACTCTATTAAAGTATTATAAAACAAGAAAAACAACTTCATATATCGCTTACAGAGAACCACATAGATTTTCTAGCTGAAATTAGAAATCGGGAAATGGAATAAATCAAATACTAAGGCAATCACAAAAATAAATATAAATGAAAATAATATTGAAATAAATATATAATAACAACCAATTCATAAATATAATTATATGTAATCAGTTTTCATAATTTAACTGGCTACCAACGCAAAGAGGATTATGCGTATTATGTGTACGTTAAAGTTTTCTATATTAAATATTTAAATAAATAACCGAGCAAAGCTCTTTCGAGCAGCTAGTATTGTTTTTAAATATGTATATTTCAATAAAAATAACAGGCAGTATTCAGCAAATTAGCATTGGCTTAGGCCTGGGAACCGCGAGCTTCCAACGTCATTAACCGCTCAACAAAAGCTCAACTCAATTGGTATTTAAATGCGACATGGTCTTTAGCTATGCAGCAATATAAAAAACMATTCCGTTAAACGCTGAACAAACATCAGCAGAAAAGCAAAAACAATAAATATAAATAAATAAACAAACAAAAATGCATTGTACATTGGCAATAAACACATCGGTCAGCCATTGGACGGGGCGTGGCCGAGGGGGGTAGCCCACCTGGCGAGTGGTCGATGCGACAGAAATATTGTATAACCCGAACAAAATTTATGACCTAATTTCCTAGCCAAAAACGACAGTTTGACAGACTGAGCAGCGCGTTTTAATTTTCCCCAAGTTATGCAAATATTTTTATTAGACATCGTTACAATTTTCGTGCCTCAATAAAATGCCCGAATTGGAAATGGGAAATGTGTGTACGCTGTTGTATGCCTAGCCAGAAAGTATCGCATTACCAACGGCCAACAACGGCAAGAGCCAACTTGGCTACAGAATTTATGATATGCCGGCTAACAGAGCGAGCCTTTGAACCACTTTGACTGCGACGGAACGTAACATAATTGATTAACATTTTCGTGGTTGGGGACCGCGAGATAGAGAAGAAGAGGAAAGCAGTTAGAGAGAGAGTGAGAGTGAGAGTGAGAGAGGGGAGGATATAGGCGAGGCGACAAGGAGCTATGCGTGTTCGCCGAACATTTCAGGCAATTAAAATTAAATGTTCACCTCTTCAGGTCTGGTTGATTTATAATCTCCCATTATCGCCAATATTTTATCGCACATTGTATTCATAGAAGTCCAATTATTGTGCAGCGCATAAATCAATTTATTTATTATATATATGCTATTTTGTTTATTTTGTTTCTCCTCCAGATGTATACCTGCCAGGCCACCAATGGCCATGTCGTTCCGGCACTGACCAAAAAAGTTATCCTGGACATGAACCGTAAGTTGGGGCCATCATCTTTAGTATGCGTGTCCCGTTTCGTATTACAAATTTTATTCAAATTGCCTATGCTAAAAACAAAACATTTGCCCACCCACACCTCAATTCAGGCTGCATCTATTATTTTCCATCTCTATTGGTGTTTGTGTAATTATGTTTATGGTTCGATGTGGGCGTTTGCCAAATGTCGACAGGTCAAGGCCAGGCGGAGGGCGCGGGCCTGACAGCTTTTGCATGAAAATTAATGTAATTAAAGTTTCTGTCATTGTGGTCCGAATACTGTAATCCAATGTTTATGCATTTATGGCATTGAAACTAACAACTCAATGTGTGTGTGATGGGTGTGGGCGGGCGAATATGCTAATCGCACTGCGGATCCCGTGGGTGCGCGGCCCAATGATAATAATACAGTTGTATACTGTTAGTTATATGGCAGTTGTAAAGTGGTTTGGAGTGCATAGACAACAGCGAATTAGGCGTAATTAAAATAGCTCTTTAGCCCCAAGTACCGTGTTGTGCAGCCACAATAACCCCATCGTGTGGTGTTCTCTCCTGTTCACAGTGCCCCCGCTGAGTCTACTGCTGCAGGGCCTCAATCATGCCGTTGTCGCTGGCACACGCACCCATGTGACCTGCACAGCCATCGGGGCTCGTCCGCCGCCACATATCATCTGGTCAAAGGCGGGCCAGATACTGAAGGGCTCTTCTCAGTCGGTAAGTCAGGCAGCAGGTCCCGATTATCTGCCATTAATCGAACCCCTTTGCCTTGCAGACCTCCTCCGATGGCAATACGACCATTTCGGAGCTAATGCTCATACCCGTGCCGGAGGACAATGAGCGTCAAGTTGTCTGCTCCATTGCTCTCAACTCGGGCATTACCTCCCAGCAGCTGCACGAAGGCGATACCACGGTGATGACGACTCTGGGCAATGGCAACATGGGCCTCTACCTCAAGGACTCGCGAGTGCTCAACGTGACGCGTAAGTTGAAACCTTTTGTTTTAAGTAAAAATGTTACATATGTTAATAAACAAGCCAAGCTAGATATATTTAGTCCATTTTAAATACACATAATACATATTTTAATCTTTATTGAYTTTTTCAAGTTAATGGGAAGTTAATTAGGTCTATTTTATATATAATATATATAC